CCTCGAGGACATGTTGAGGGCGTGTGTCATTGATTTCGGTGGGAGTTGGGATTCCCACCTACCGCTTGCGGAGTTCGCCTACAACAACAGGTATCATTCTAGCATTGGCGCCCCGCCATTCGAGCTGTTGTACGGGCGGAGATGTCGCACCCCGGTTTGTTGGGGTGAGGTTGGTCACAGGGTGATGGGTCGGATGGAGGTGGTCTTGCAGACTACCGAGTAGATTCAGCAGATTAGGCAGCGGCTGCAGACCGCTCAGAGTCAGCAGAAGAGTTACGCCGACCGGCGCCGCTCCGAGTTAGAGTTTCAGGTCGGTGACATGGTACTCCTGAAGGTCTCGCCCTGGAAGGGTGTGATCCGCTTCAGGAAGAGGGGAAAATTGGGTCCCCGATATATTGGGCCGTTCAGGATCATTGCCAGGGTTGGCAAGGTGGCTTACAGGCTAGAGCTGACGGAGGAGCTTAGTCGGATCCACAACACTTTCCACGTTTCGCAGCTGCGAAAGTGCATTATGGATCAGGAGGCGGTGGTGCCGCTGGATGATATTCAGGTCGATGAGCGCCTGAATTACGTGGAGAGGCCTGTGGCCATACTGGAGAGAAAGATGAAGATTCTGAGGAACAAGGAGATACCTTCAGTGAAGGTACAGTGGGAGCATTGGAGGGGGTCCGAGTGGACGTGGGAGCTAGAGGCAGAGATGCGGGGGCATTATCTGGAACTGTTCACCGTGGCAGACTTCGAGGACGAAGTCTAGTTCAAGTGGGGGAGAATTGTAACGCCCCGATTCTCAGGTATTGATTTAATATAAGAGTTTCTTGATTTCAAGGGCTACTCGACGAGTTGGTTGCCCTACTCGTCGAGTAGCAGCGGGTTGGTTCACGCATTTTAATGACCTGCTCGTCGAGTCCAAGAAGGAACTCGACGAGTAGGAGCAGGCAGATGAAACCCTAAATCCCAGGGTTTTGCACCCTATTTAAAGGATCATTGGCCTCCCCCAGCCTCCCCTTTACTGCTTCTTGTCCCTCTCAAACCCTAATCGAGTGTGTGTGTTCCATTTGTGTATTCTTAAGCTTGGAAGAGGATTTTTGGAGAAGAGAGCTTGGACATCAAGTATCCAGAAGCAAGGAGCTTGTGGGATCTGAAATATATCTTGATTGGCATCTTCTGGAAGGTATAAATCGCTACCCTGACCTCATTTCATTTCTAGATCCCCTTTTGGACAAATTTTAGGGTTTTCCTAGTATGTTTGGAAGCTTTTCTTGTGTATAAGCTAAGATCTGAAGTTGTAACTTCAGAACTGAACTCTCTTGGGCTTCTAAGTACATAAAGCTTCCAGCTCTTGCAAGGATGAGACTCTCCTAAGGTGTAAAGCTCCATTAGAAGCTTATATTGGTCATTTATAGCCTCTAGGGCCTTGCATGCATGTAAAGTTTGCAACTTTACGTGATAAACATGCCTTAGAAGCTTGGATCTGTAATCTGGATCCTTGGCATGGCTTAAAAAGTGTCTGCATGGATGAAGGCCTGAAAGGATTCGGTGAGTTGCATAGTCAACTCGGCGAGCCACATGAAGATGGACATGTACTCGACGAGTTGGATGAACAACTCGGCGAGTCTGTTGAAGATTGCCTTGAACTCGGCGAGTCGGTCGAAGACTCGGCGAGTCGGCTAGGGTTTCTCTTAACCTTTGGTCACGTATGAACTCGAGGAGTTTTAGGGGAACTCGACGAGTCAACCTAGGATTCCACGACTTCTCGAGTCCAGGAAGAACTCGACGAGTCGGTGAACGACACTCGACGATTTGGTGTCCTGGTTCGGTCAATATCCTGGTTATAGGATTATGCTATGTTAGTGACCTAGGTAGGTCGATGTCCTGGTTATAGGATGTTGTTATGCTATTTGATCTGTTAGATCGGTTTGACTGTTATTGTGATAGCATATGATTGTATGTGCACATGTTTGTTGATTTGGGGATTGGGTTGAGGCGGTCCTGCTTTGTGCTGAAGGCCAACATACCTAGGGCGGTCCGGATATACTACAGACCCATGAGGGTATGCTAGTCAGACCGAAGGACCAGCGAGTGGTCCGGATAGGTTGTACGCCCTACGACGCGGTCCAGTCAGGCTGAAGACTCATTATGCATGTTGTTTACTTATATGATTATATGATATGGTTATGAGATTGGTATTTTGGGGAATAGCTCACTAAGCTTTCGGGCTTACAGTTTCAGTTGTTGTTTCAGGTACCTCTGGTGATCGCGGGAAGGCGAAGGCATGATCGTATCGCTCCTCCTGCTGTTATGATTTTTATGATTCGATACTGGGATATTCTGATAATTAGTATTTTGAAAACAAACTATGTAATGTTAAATGGTTTCAAGTGTTTTGAAAAAGTTTAAAATTGGCTTGAATTTTATGGTTGTTACAGAAGCGGGATGTAACTTGGTATGTGGAGAGGTGCTTGACTTGCAGGAAAGTCAAGGTCAAGCATCAGCAACCTCACGGCAAGATGCAGCCGTTAGATATTCCTGTTTGGAAATGGGAGGAGATTACCATGGATTTCATTAGGAAGTTGCCCCAGACTGCGCGCGCGGAGTGGATTCGATTTAGTGGGTCGAAGGCATCAATGTCGGCCCATGGTTTGTTATGTTTAGGATGTTAGATGTTTGCGTGACTCTTTCATATGTTATGTGTTTATATGATTATCGGGCGAGGCCCGATGACCATTCTGTATGCTATTTATCTATGTGATTATTGAATGTGTTATGTGTTTATATGTATATATGTTTATATGTATACTGGGCGGGGCCCGATGCCGAGCGGGGCCCATTATATTTTTATTATGTATGGTATGTGGTACTTTGGGGAACTCACTAAGCTGTGTGCTTACGGTTTTCAGTTTATGTTTTCAGGTACTTCTGGTTCGAAGGGGAAGAGTCTGGGATGATTGCAGTGCACACACCACCTCGTTCCACATTTTTACTCTGATGTATTGGGATGTTATTGATACACTTTGATTCACCTTGATTTCTAAGATGATGTTTTGGATAACAGTTTTATTAACTTTAAAACGAAAATTTTAGTCTTAAGTTTTGGGACGTTACACACCTAATAAAAGCTGAAAGACTTTTAGTTAAGTATGCGCTCCAAATAACACTTCAGCTTTTTTCTATTAAAAGAACCTAGTTATAAATATTACTACGTTCAGTCATCGTTTATACTATTTGTGATTATAATCCAATACTAACATTGGTTGACACCAACGCCAAATTAAATTCAAATTCCGATGAACCCTTTTCCTAACCTACCTAACATCAAAGTATTCCAACATCCTACAATATCTAACATTCACCCGCCCCAACATCTTATACACAATGCATAAGTTTGTCTTCATATGCATGATCTACTTCGCTATGATATAATGCATTGATTAAATGCAAAATCTTATATTTACAAGGTACACTTTTCTTTGATCCCCACCTCTTTAAATATGTTTCCACTCCTTAAATGTATACACTGAATCAGATTAGGGGATGTTTGATAAACGAAGATCGACCTCCAGATATATAAAGCCTTGAAGCTAAATATCAAGGTGCCATAAAAGTGGTTTTTAAAGCTAGTTGGTTGCCAACCTCTTACTTAAAATGCGTTGAATACTCACCACCACAACCATCGTTTATTATGATAAAGTTGTATTATCTATCTCACGGCCAATCTAGTTCAATTCCAATAAACAGAATATATCAAAATGGATATCCACTTCATTCGGGAAAAGGTCACTTGCGGTGAAATTTGTGTCTTGCACGTTCAATCACGCTATCAGCTTGTCGGTATTTCACTAAAGGCTAACATCGCCTTTTCTTTGACAATTTTTTAGATAGTCTCAGCATTCAAAGACTGCCTATTACAACTGTATGGACTATTAGTCATTATGTTATTATCATATTGTATTTGATGTATTTATTGTTTATCTATGTTTCCATTATATAATATTAACATCTTGTATAAATACCCTAATTATTAATGGGAAAGACAAGCATTGAGATATTTCATTGTTGTCTTCAAGGGCGTAGCCAATATAGGACAGAGTGGGTCTTGGCCCACCCACACAAAATTAAGGTTATATATATATATATATATATATATATATATATATATATATATATATATATATATATATATATATATAGTATGTACAATATATATTTTTTTTAAATAAAAGGAATTAGGGTTGTAATATGGCCTATTCTATTATTTTCTTAAAATTAGTAGAAGAAAATACATTATTGTCTATGTCGATTAGACTCCATTTTAGATTATTTTATTGATGTAAAACAAAATCGTGTGCAACTTAAAATAAACAATTTAGTTATGAATGCATATATAGTTACATTTTGTTATCGTTTGAAAAATTTTGTCACTTCTTTATATTTTGTATATTATTTGGTCAACCCTAAAATAAATTCTTGCTACGCCACTGATTATCTTTTAATATAATTATCAGGTGGTTGTTAAAAAAAAACTAAGAATAAATTTCAAAAACTTATAAAAATGGTAAATAATATCATTTGTGAGATGTATTATATGAAAGGTCATTCATTGAACATTAGCTATATTTTAGGTGTACTAGAGTTTAAATCCTAAAACTCATATGTAAATTTTAGCACCTCAAACCATTAAGCTTCTGTAACACAATTTGAAAGGCTTCGATCTAAGTGTCGAAAGATTTTTTTTTTGAAATAAGTTAGATAGAAATATGTATGGTGACTGAAACCTTAAAGCACAAAATAACGGTAGAGGGTGGCGTGAAAATATGTTGTCATGCCGTCCAAAACAGACCTTTCATCCATAATGCCACATTGCCACCCCCTGCCCCCACGCGCAATCTCTCTCTCTCTCTCTCTCTCTCTCTCTCTCTCTCTCTCTCTCTCTCTCTCTCTCTCTCTCTCTCTCTCTCTCTCTCTCTCTCTCTCTCTCTTTCTCTGTATATATAGTGTAATTTATGTACCTTCTTGCAGCATACTTCGATCATCTTCAACTTTGCAGATACCACCGAACTTTAACATCCGTTTCCGGCGCAAACATCAAGACAATCAAAACATTTTTTGACCCTAGCAAAACCAATCATCTTAAGTCGTACGCGGTGGTCGTTTCTTTTTATACCAACAGACAAAAAAGGTCAGTTTCTTTTTAGAATTCTGGTTCAAATCAATGTATATGAATATATGAGCTTTACCTTGAGCTCGAAGCTTTAAAACCCAGGGGTCTTGTACTTGATTGTCGTTGGTATTTCTTTTTGGAAGGTTTGATCTAATTGAAAACAATTATTGTAGCATATTAAAACCCATTCATATTTCTTGGTTTCAAACTGGTTCTAAACTTCTATTTAATAATTATGCTTCTTGAAAACGTCGTTTCCATCTACGTATACTTATGATAAATATGATGAATGTTCCGTTGCGTTTATTATCTTGATCATGTCTGCTTCTGGATCCAAACCTCATCTTAAGTAGGAACATGCATGCTTTTAGTGGTTAAGAGTGAGACATAATTAAATGACACGAATAGAATGTGAATATGTGATCCATCTGTTTGACAATCTCTATATTCATCATTTTTCATGGGGTTTATTTGTTTTCAACTGCCATTGGAACATGAGAAAGAGTCTCACAACACAATAAGTGAATAACCAATCCTATTATGGTTATGAAAAGTGTTAAATTATAGGTTTAAGAGAGAGAAATGGTATGGTTTATGTTGGTTATGGTGATTTGTTTATAATAAGGGTCTTAGATATATAGGGAGAGTATGGGGGGTGGAGTGGGGTTATCCATGACCTTATGATGAGGAAACATGGAGTGGAATGCACTCAAAGAAACCATAACATGCCTACCTTCTATTCCCTTCTGTTTATAAACAAAAAGTCAATGTTTTGCGCTTATCTTACATATATACTCTATATCGTATGTTTACCTTCTTTCTATGTTGCTTCCTGGGCCCCACTACCACATCAAATTATATTTTTCTTGTCCTTTTACAACGAAGACACTTTGGTATAGGTCCCACATGATATAATAATCATAAGGTCTTTTGTTCACGAGTGGTTCTGAATTGTTTGTAACAACCATAGTTGGCTACTAAGTTTGTAGTTCACGATTCACCATATGTGCGATCTATCTATTATATTAGATCTTATATAAGATGATATATACCACCTCTTGTTCTCTCTTTGTTCCAAGGTGAGCAGCTTTAAAGAATACAGTTTCTAATTTATTTGCATTTTGTTTTATAGAAGGATCAAGAGAATAATTGATCAATCGATAGATGGAGTTGGAGTCATCATGTGTTCCTCCAGGGTTCAGATTTCATCCTACGGAGGAAGAACTCGTGGGATACTATCTCAAAAGGAAAGTAGAGTCACTGCAAATAGATCTTGATGTCATTGTTGACATTGATCTTTACAGAATGGAGCCTTGGGATATTTGAAGGTAATCCACTCCAGACAACATGAAATCATTACATGAAAATAGGTCATTTTCATTTAACCCATAAACATGTCAAGAATTGACAGCATTGTCACTAAACAATAATATCATATCCCTACTTTGCTTTACGTAAAATGGAGGAAAATTCTTTTTGCTGCAAATCATATATCCAATGCAATTTGCGACACGTTCTTACACTTTAATTAGTCTCAAGTTTTGAAAGTCACAAAGAGGCGCGTTATTTTTATGCAAATGTGCTTACACATAATTTAATTTCGTAACAATTTACTGATTATATATCATATCATCATATATTTTACCTTTATTAAACTTTATCTCTCAACCTCTATTAACGTGTTAAGCTTTATCACATCATTGCATAAAAAATATTTAAATAAAGCCCAAGTTTCAAATTTATTAATAAAATTTTAAATATAATATACAATGATATTCTTAATTAATACAAAATGAACTCCATAAAATTTAAATAGTGTGATAACTAAGACATATAACAGTTTAACTATTAATATACATACTTATTTAATAACTTAAATAGCTAGTGCTATAGATACCCCAAAAAAGTTAAATATCAAAAAACAATATTTTTTTTGGATAATGAAAGTAAAATATGGTTCCATACATTACTGTTGAATTATACCTTTTTTTGTTTGATAAATTGAAATTGAAAGTATTATCAATACATTATTGTTGAATTTTATAAAATAAAAAAAGTAACATGATTCCATGCATATATATATATATATATATATATATATATATATATATATATATATATATATATATATATATATATATATATATATATATCCTTGAGGCCTTGATTAAACTCCCTTTTTGAATAAATTCTATGTCACCCTCTTACTATTCATTAAGCCTCATTAAATTTTACCTATATACAGTTTAAAGCATTTTGATTGATCTAACTTAGCCACATCACAATTTTCTTTCTCATACACACTAATTACCTGATTAAATCTATATTATAATCTATTAAAAACGTACATCATACACATGATCAGTGTTTTTCAACCAATACTATACCATATTATATCAAATGGCAATTTATTACTTCTTTTTTTGTTTTTAATACAAACTTAGGGAGGTGCAAATTAGGATACGAAGAACAAAACGAGTGGTTTTTCTTCAGTCACAAATTAAACTCCCTTTTTGAATAAATTCTATGTCACCCTCTTACTATTCATTAAGCCTCATTAAATTTTACCTATATACAGTTTAAAGCATTTTGAATGATCTAACTTAGCCACATCACAATTTTCTTTCTCATACACACTAATTACCTGATTAAATCTATATTATAATCTATTAAAAACGTACATCATACACATGATCAGTGTTTTTCAACCAATACTATACCATATTATATCAAATGGCAATTTAATTACTTCTTTTTTTGTTTTTAATACAAACTTAGGGAGGTGCAAATTAGGATACGAAGAACAAAACGAGTGGTTTTTCTTCAGTCACAAAGATAGAAAGTACCCTACAGGCACACGGACCAATAGAGCTACCTCAGCCGGTTTCTGGAAGGCAACAGGAAGAGACAAGGCGGTGCTATCAAAAGACAGGATCATCGGAATGAGAAAAACCCTTGTTTTCTACAACGGACGTGCACCCAATGGCCGGAAAAGTGACTGGATTATGCACGAATATCGCCTCCAATCGTCTCACAATGCTCCCGTTCAGGCAAGTACTTTACATTGATCCTTTAATTAATCCTTTAACTATAAATAAACACAATGTTCATGAATGGTGAAAAAACACCAAGAAAACAAATAGATATATTGAGTCCTAATCAGTCAACGCTTTAGATTTTTTTTTTCTGTTCTAGGTCTTTGTTTAGGATAATGGAAACAGTGAAGACAAAGCATGCTGTTTTCATGTTTTTTGTCTTTGATCGAGTGGGTAGCTATTGACTATAGCGTAGGTTGCTGTTTGGAATGTGAAAGCTTCCTAAAGTGTCAATATTCCTTCTTAATTGATAGCATGCACCTACTTTAAACTCGTGAAACCCCACTACTTTTGCCACTAAAAGAGGTTAACCTACGGGTGGCATTTGATCGGACCGTTATTCTCTTTCTATTTTTTTGAGATAATTTTTAACAAATTGTGTACCAAGATTTATCTTTTTTTCAATATTATAAAATTTGGATGTGCATTAGAAAACACATGCAAAAGACTTTAAATATCGTGTATGACCTTTAAATCAAAACTCAACTCTTTTATGTTATTAATTTCAGGAAGAAGGCTGGGTGGTTTGTCGGGCGTTCAAGAAACCAAGTCCAGTTCAAAAACAAGGGTTTGAACCCTGGAACAATGGTTACTACATTCGGAACACCAATAATATTAGACCACTTCCACCGATTAATGATATATTTAATTCCTCGCAATCCTTCCACTCAAATCAATCCATGGTATCACATAAACTACCCTTTAATGATCAAGATCAACAACTTTCTGCAAATCACTTCCTACTTGAACATTCAAATATCGATAGTCCTTCAGCTTCAAGAAGCTTTGCAACAAACGAAGACCATGACTATGAGAGTGGAATTGATTTTAACCACTACGATAATGATTGGAAGAACATAGAAAATTTACTTGGGTCCGAATTAAACAAACCCTCCTCGTTTCCCTATTCAACCATGCCATTGATCGCCCACAATCATGATAACAATGAGTTCGACTCTAGTGATCAAACCAGCCACCTTTTTGGATGCTTTTCTGACTTGTAA